ACTCGTCAGCTCGGATGACCAGTCCCAGGAGCGCATGAAAAGTAACATGTGCGAGTGAGATGGAGTGTAGCCCGCTCGGGCATCTCACTGGCACCTGTCGGTCTCGGACGCTACCGGGATTGGTGGACCGATGCAGACCTCTGCTCTGACCTGGATCCTGGATCGTAGACAAATCCGCCTCCCTCATACCATTCAGGCCAAATCAAATCGACACCGGAGCAGCCCTCAGAAAGAAGAAACCGTAAAAGCAACTCACCTGCTTGGTGTCGAACCCCCTTTCGCACGGTTACTCTCCGAGGCGTTAACCACTGCGCCAGAGCGGATCGCTGAGGGAGGCGGGCAGCGCACCGCTGTCGTTCGCTCGCCGTTCGCCCCGGCAGGCGGCAGCAGCAAGCGGTGGCCAGCGGCGACTGCCGAGCGAACTACACCAGCGCGCTGGCCGCTGACTTCAGAGATCCGCTCTGGCCCGGTGGGTAGCGTCGCGGAGAGTCACCGGGCGGCCGTGGGACCGACACCAAGCAGAAGTGTTGCTTTTAACTAATTTCATTCTTTCTTTGAGCTGCTCCGGTCTCGACTGGATTGGCCTCGGATGTGATCTGATGACAGCATAGATTTGTTCACGACCCAGGCAAGAAAACAGCGAGACCCAGTCAAGTCTCAGGTTGGACTCAGCCGACCCCACTCACCCACTTCAAGAAAGCATTCCGGTAAAGCTGAAATGCAGAAGGATGCGGGGAAGAAGAAAACGGAAATCGCTATGCTTTAACATGGTGACTTCCGTTTTCTTCTTCCCGCATTTCAGCTTTACCGGAATGCTTTATTCCGGACCCGAGGCGGAACGATAGCGAGCGCCTACTGCAAAAGCTGGACAGAAGGACGAGTTCTTAATTTGGAAAAAGGCACTAATCGATCCCGGCCCCGAAGCCGGACACGCTTATCTTGGCGTGTCTGCGTATACTGGTTCAACTTTTTTTTAGCGTTTGTTAAAGTTGTAATCGCAATAATCGTAACATAGAGTTAACAGTTAATCTCCAACCGAACTAAAGTTGTGAACTAAACTAGTTAACAGCAAGCCTTTGGTTAAAGTTGTAACACTAACTTACAACTCACGCCATCCATGTTATAAGTTATTCACAAATCAAACTTAGGTTGGTTACATGCGTAACAGTTTAGGGCTGTACCCGAAACGTCTTCGTTATTTTGATACCGTATAAAAAATAACGCAGTTCATACTGATACGATAAATAACGCAACGTTAAGAAATAACTTCAATTTCGGTACAGTCAGTAACTAACGTATGTTTGCGTTATGATAAGTTACGGACCCCTGGTAAAATGTGACCAAGATCTATAGTGTCTTTAAAATTGACCAACATATTTTCTTGAGTCTATCAATTTAAATGTGCTATGTTTGACAGTCACAAAAATAACATTTGATAATAAGTCAATTTTCTGGTATGTGGTCAATGAAACTTGTGTATGAATTCAGTTTGAAATGAATTGGGATATGTGCCTGTTTAACTTGTTGTAAACACATCTCAAATAACAAAAAAAGGTTTGCTATAAACCTGAGAGTACTGTGTTTTAAAACATAGATTGCTATATGTACTCTGATATGTTTCCTTTTTTTGTTTTTGTTTTTAAATTCAAGAATTTTTTTTTTCAAATTATACTTGGTGACTTTGAAGTTTATACTAGGATTTAAATGAACCATTCATACAAGTAAAGGGCTCAATAATCATCAAATTTGTTTTTGGTCCAGATCAGATTGAGTCTCCTTACCCCATACTTTTGCAGAGTTATATTGGACAAATGACCATCGAGTAAATCTTTGACCTTAGGGAATGTTTCAGTACTTGCTAAATGAAGGTGGAAGAGAGATTTTTTTGCCTTCTGTCCGCATGTCAGCACCTGTAAAGCACCGCATGTCACAAATATTAGAATCTTAAAATCAGTCCCATGGTCCCATCTGTTTCTTCAAATTATGTATCATCTCATTACAGTACACAAACAATTTCAAGCCTTTCCTGTTCATGTAATGTGAACTTCCCAAGATTGAAATGTTCTCACTAGAGTGTATATTCATTACAAAATATCTCATTTGTACAAGCTTCCTCTGCAGATGTTCATTTTCAAAGTAATTTGGCAGTTAATATATACAGTACGTAAAAAATTTGTACAATCTGAAATAATGAAAGTGACGGTTTTGTAAACAACAACTGTGTTTACCTTCATTATGCAATGCACACACTACCTAAGATTGTTCTGATCACCAATCATCTCGAATGCATGAATTTTAGATCAAGACTTATCAGAAAAAACATTAATACACTCATTTACGTTCAAGAAACATTCACCAAATTTCTGAATATGATAAGACAAGAATCACTAGTTTTAAATTTAAATTCAGATATTCAGATAATATTCATTCCAAAACCACAAAAAACATGCCAAGATGCATTAATAGTATGGAGACACTTGCTTCACCTGTGTTGTTTGTATCCCAAAGAGAAAAAATTACGTTTGAAATATGGGTTACATTGTAAAAAGGTTTATCTACTTATAACATCCCTCAATATCACACACAAAATGCATATCTTAATTACATTTCCAAAACCTAGGGTTAGGGATTGAACAAATGAATATAAGAGGTATAGTAAATTAATTAATTGATACTCCATAATTGTAGTGCAGTACAGAAAGTAACTTTATCATCACAGAAAGCTGTTTCCCTTCTTTTGAAGGGAAAATACTAATCGTTCAGTTGTGCTTAAATTTCTTCAAAAGAACTGGCCAGAAGTTACCAAAAGCTGGAAGACTTGCTTTATACTTTTCCATCTTCTTGGTTGTACGGATTGTTCTTCAGTCATACTGCCCTCCATTCTATGCATTTATTCTGGCCAAGCATCTTCAAAATGCATAGCGTAACGTAAACCCCCCCATAGAATTTTATTGTATTTTAGTAACACAGAGTAAATTTAAAATATCAATATCAACACACTTTAATTAGGTAACAACATCAACAATATTTAAACTAGCCACTAGTTCAATATGTATGTACACAACATCAATTTGGCCAATCTTTTCTCTTGGCACTGTGTTCTTCAGAGATGAATCCTCTGCAAGCTTTCCCCTCAAAATAAACATCAACTGGAAACCTTGAAAGTTAACAGGACCAACATGAGTAATCTCAGTTCTGGAATTTTCCATTTTACTTCTTAGTTACAAATACCCAGTCTAAATTGGATTGTTCATTTTGGAATGAGGATTGAGATACTTCCAAAGATAAAATCAGAACATAGGGCAAACTTGTCCTTGTCTAGGTTGGTTTTTTGTTAATTTTAAAAGAATAATGGTGGGATTATTACATTTTACTCTGATGTTAATGCATTTCCTGTGACTTTCATTGTTCCATTACTCCCACAAAACAAAAAGGGTAAAAATTTGATACATTAGAACCTTTCTTAGTGAACTTTCAGACAGATTTCTTTAACTATCCATACAATGGTGTATCACAGAAAATACCTCAGAACTCTTTTTATGTACCATGTTTCAATTGTTTTTATAGTTGTTTTCAAAATTGTTGATTTAAACCAAGTCCTTTTCTTTTGTCAAAACATTGTAAATAAATTGAGTATTAGAGGTAGGTGCTGTGTTCTTGACAAGGCACCCTAATGATGATCTAAAAAAAAATTGTTTAAAAAAAATTCACTTTTAGATCTTTAAAACAATCCTAAACGTGTTACAGGTTACATCCCATACAAGACATAAACAAAAGTTTCACTTATTGTCAGTTATTCACATTATGTTATTTTCAATGTCTCATTTACACCTCAAACTGTGGAGGACCAGTCTCACGGAGTGAAACTATGGACAGTCATAAACCTTGACTTGGAAAATGCAAGAGCGCTAATCGAAAACCGAACACAATGAAATTTTCACCCCTGATACCGGTCTTCCCCGCCGGTTCCGATCCAAGCCCAACTGCCCAGCCAGTCTAGATTGTCCACACTTGGACTTTCTCCGCCACGACACACCAGTTGGTGTGGTCGTAGTACGACGAGATGATGTGCAGGTTCTCGACATAGCGCTCAATGAGCTGGTCCAGCTCGCCCTCCCTGAACACGTGGTAGTAGCGGTGGTAGGTGATGGCGCCGCCGCCGTTGTCGGAGGGCAGCGAGTCCTGGGACGTGGAGCCGGACAGCGAGGTGGTGCAGGACTCAGTCTTGGTGACCTCGGTGGGCTCCTGGACGGCCGCCTTCTGCCGCACCAGCTGCGGCATGCGGCCGGGGGTCTCCTCGGAGCTGGAGCGGCCGTCGCAGCGCGCCGTGCGCCGGTCCGCGAAGCGCACGTCCCGGCTGCAGTCGGACGCCGCGTCGTAGGCGTCGCTCATGGACTCCATGGCGCTGCCGAGCGACGCGGAGCTGGCCGTGATGCCGTGGCTGGCCGAGCTCGTGTCCCGGCGGCTGTCGGTGCCCGACACGCTGCCCGTGCCCGTGCGCTCCGAGAAGTCGCCGCCGTCGCTCGACTCGATGGAGCAGCCGGGCCGCAGCGGCGTCATGAGCCCCGGGCGCGCCGGGTCGCTGCCGTCGCTGTCGGCCGCCGCCGCCGCCGCGTACATGACGGCGGAGGGGCGCGGCGCGAACTGCAGCGTCGCGACCTGCGGGCCCGGGGGCGGCGCGCTCACGCTCACCTCGGCGTCCGAGGCCTCGCTGGCCAGCTCGCTGTGCGGCGCCGAGTCGCCGTCCGTGCTGCGCGTCGACCGGATGGAGCTGCTGAGGCTCGAGACGCCGGTGAGCGCCTCGGACGAGTCGACGCTGCGCAGGCTGGGCAGCGACGCGTTCTTGGTGAGGCGCGACAGCAGCTCGCACGACGAGTCCACGTTCTTGGCCAGGCTGGCCAGCACCTTGTCGAACGGCCCCGGCGCGCTGGGCCGCTCCCGCAGCTCTAGGCTCAGCTTGCTCAGGCCCTGCAGCTCCTCGCCCAGACGCGCCAGGTCCCGGACAGCGCCGTCCTCGCGGTACCGCTCGATCTCCTCGAGCAGGCGCTCGCTCAGCTGCTCGGCGAAGCCGGCTAGGTGCTGGCGGACGCCCTCGTCCCAGCAGTCCTCCTCCAGCGGCGAGCCCAGCCCGGCGCTTCCGTCGGCGACCTGGCCCTCCCGCGGAGACAGAACGAGCGGCGGCACGGAGCGCCGCGACGGGCTGTGGTCCGCGCTGTGGAGTCCCTGCGCCGGCGCCACGCCCGGGGACTGCAGCTGTCCCGCCTGCGCCGCCTGTAAGGAGTCGTACCATACAGTTGTAAACGTAAGCGTCTTCTTAGCCGGAGGGTGCTTCCTCAACGGCACTCAGCGCGCCTGCAGTGGGCCAGATAGGCAACACCGCCGGACAGGCGGGCGCCGCGGGTTTGCCTACCCGGCCCGCTGGCAGGCGCCCGGGCCCTGCCCCACTCCGGCACCTTACTTACGTGGAGCCCGAAGGGATCCGGTGTTTCTGGTATGGCGGTGAGGGAGAGAGGGTCTGACTCGGGCTCGGTGATCCTGGTGGTGAAGGGCTGCTCCGGGTCCGTGCGCCTAGGGATGGCCCCCAAGCTCGAGTAGTCGACGCCCTCGCGACCCTCGTGCAGCCGGCCCGCAGAGTCCGCGCGCCGGCAGGACCGCAGGCTGTCCGACTGTTGGCGCAGGAAGAAAGGGCAACATTAAGAAGTGGTCGAATTGCACGAGGCGCAATAAAACAATGGTAAATTGTAAAATTTAAGTTGGTGGTATTTTAACAGGAACTGGCCCCGCATCGCAATATGTACCTTGCCAATGTTGGTGGTCTGAGGGAATTTGAAGACGTTGTTCTCCTGCCCTCTGGCCGCCGCTAGACTGCCCGGAAGCGAGAACCTGCTCACCGACTCCTTCATCCTGGATTTGGTCCTATTCGTTGGATTGGGTGAGTTGTCCGGACTTAACTGAAGACTCCAGCTCGACCTGCAATAGAAGATGGCGCAGATTGCGTTGGTGTCGGCTGTCAAAACCAGTAGTTCCAACTGTCCTGTTCCTCCAGCGCGTCAGCATGTCGGCTCTTACCTGGCCAGGTCGTTCTCAAGCGCTACCCTCAGATCGGCGGAGTCCAGGTTGACTTGCCTCCTTTTGGCTCTGGGGCTGGCCTGTAT